CACTCTTAGTAGGTGGGACCCACAACCCTCGAACCTCAGAAATTACTCCGCTACCCTCGACTCCAAATTTGGACACCAGTTGGTGTTGTTTGTGGGAAAGACTTAGCATCACTCCCTTTTCGTAGAAAACTCTAAGAAACTACTTAACATTTTCAAAAATGGTTGAAAATTAGGACAATGTCCCCAATGTCCAAGGTTTGGTCAACCATAAACAATTCAATGTGGTGCTCCATCGACTTTACAACTTGGCTTAACAACTAGACAAGTTAGGGTAACTGACAGGAGGCCTCCCACATGAGGCTTCCTATCAGGGGATGGAAACAACAGGGCAGGAAATCTGCCCACATTGCAGTGAGCCAACGCCTAGGCGGGCACATTATCGAAGATCCCTCGAAGTCTGGCAGTAGTAGTTGTCGGGCAAGAAAGCACCGGTCCAACACATCTTGGCTTCCACCCATCTACGGTGGGAACCACCACAGCTCCCAACTACAAGGCCTCCAACCGCAATAGGGACGACAGAGGGTGCTCTGACCATTATAGCCTCCCTCATCAATTGGGAGCTGGCCGATGCTGTGCCTCTCCCCCAACAATTTTTTATCTCTATGATCACCTCAATGATTGTCGTGCTCATAGAGCCTAGGACCCAGCCAAATCTGAATTCTCTGGGAGTCGTGCAAACCTCTCCTGGGTGATAGAGTTGTGAGAGCAAGCTGAGATCCCCATACATCAAATTGCCCAACGCCTTAGAGACCTCCAGTTGCAAATAGGCACAATTCTGGATGAGATAAGACAGGTAAAGGAGGATAGAGGTGATGCCTCTACCAGTTAGCCTGCCTCGCCTAGTAGGATGGAGGCTTTTACTAACTTCATCACCTTGGATCTGCTCCTGCTTAATTTCAAGGTGCCTACTCTTGAAATCTATGATGGAAGCACGGATTTGGAAGACCACTTGGAGAGATTTTGAGCCCTAATGCTCCTTCATGGGTACTCGGACACCCTCATGTCCCAATCCTTTCAAGCCACTTTCAAGGAAGTTGCTCGTATATGGTTCTCTACACTCCCCCCTCGGGCCATCAGCTCTTGGGACCAATTTGTAGACCTTTTCCTAGACTACTTTATGAGCAGTCGATAGTGTCAAAAGATCATCATCTCCTTGATGTCCGCCAAGCAAAAGCCCGGGAGAGCCTTCAGGCTTATATGAAGAGATTAAACTAGGAGGAACTCGAGGTTAAAGACCTTGACACCTTAGTATCTATGGTGGCCACCATCAGTGGCCTCCGTCTGGGACCCCTCAGTTGGTGTATTTCAATGACACTACCCATCACTATAGGGACATAACCTCAACATGTCACTCAGATGAGGTCGAGCCCGAGAAGAGAGTGCAAGTCGGGTCTCTCCTCCCTTATGACACACTTTTCGAACTAATAAGCTTCCTCAGAGCCAATGTTGACATATTTGCTTGGTTTGCTACTGATATGCTAGGAGTTGACCCCTCGGTCATTACTTACAGGTTGAGCATGGACCCAAGCTGTAAGCTGATTCGGCAAAAGAAGAACTTTGCAGCAGAGCTTTGGAAAGCTATTGTTGAGGAAGTGGACAAATTACTCAATGCCGACTTCATTAGAGAGGTACACTATCCTAAATGGCTATCTAACGTGGTCATTGTTAACTAAGCTAATGGGAAATGGCGAATATGCATTGACTTCACAGATATCAACAAGGCATGCCCCAAATACATCTTTCCATTGTGAAGAATAGATCACCTGATCAATGCCATTACAAGATATGAACTATTCCATTTTATGAATTCTAAGGGCTCTTTCCATACACCATTTCCTTGAGTATACATATGTGTATATATATATAATATTTGATTAACCATTTTTTTTATGTAATAAACATATAATATTAGAGAAATGCCAACTTTTTGTACAAAATTTTTACATTTTTATTATCTTTCATGTTTATATCTCTTATTTTAAAATCTTTTATTATTTAATTATGGCATCAAAGGTTGAACCATTAGTGGTGAAAGCCAAAAGTATAATATTAGATTTAATGTGAGAAATTGGAGTTAATGCATTAAATATAGAACTTAATGAGGTAGATTAGAATAAAATTATTGTGGTAGCTCAAATAATTATGATTTCTGCCCTCACATAGAGAGGGATTATATTCTAAAATAAGGGTATTCAGTATAGATTATCACTAATTTTTTAATATTTATTTCATCTTTTTGGTGGTTAGAAGTGGTTTTGCAAAAGCCCAAGGCACTTTAGGAAGAAATAAAYATTATAACAGCTATATATTAAAAAGAATATTATAACATCTGAGTTTACATTTTTGCCCAGTTAACCAAGGATAACTTGAAAAGCATGGACACCTTATGCTAAAAGATTTCTAWGTAAATGCTATAGTTGATCAAATTGTCATTATTGCCCTCATCTTCAAATGAAGGCAACTTAAAAACAGATGGACAATTTCTGTAATTAAGAAATCCAAAAATCATTTAAGGGAGCTTACAGGGGAGGTTGGGCTTTAAAAGAGGAATCTTCCATGCTAAAAGGATCTGCTTCCCACAAGATGTTCCCGCATCTCTACCCATGAGACATGACAACTACACATTGGGAATATCTCCCTTGTCATTCATGGGGAGATGTTCCCAATACATGGTGGTGCTGCTCTATGGGTATGGATGTGGGTACAATTTGTGAGTAGCAGATCCGGAGTTTGCTAAAAGTTGGTGTGTAACATAAAAAATTAATTTATCCTGCCAGTCATTATCTCTATGTAGGTTTCGAACCCTTATTTGGGAGAAGATCTCATACCAAACTAGTAAATTACGGTATAAGATCTCATACCAAATCGTTTTATTTCGGTTTGGTGCAGTTTCTAATACGGTTTAGGGACTTTAGGTCATTCTATGGTTCTTTTAGGCTTAGCCCAATTAGAAAGCCCAAATAGCTCCCTTAAAAATTAAAACATGAAACTTTTATTTATTATTTTATTATAAAATAAAGAGTTTATTATATATTTTTAATTTTACGCCTTCCATTTAGATATATTATGTATAATGTTTATATATCATATATTCATATTATATTATATATATGTATATAAAGCTTTTGTTTACAGTTTGGTTCGTTTATATTCAATAAAACAAACCAAAACAACAAATCACAATTTAGAAAATTCTCAAACCGAATCAAACCATTTATAAGTATAAACCGAACCAAACTATAAATTCAGTTTGATTCAATTCAGTTTTACGGTTTGAACAATATAGTGAACACCCATAGGAACCTGTTACCTCATTTGGCATCACACAATCCATAACTGAATGGGCGCTAACTGGAGAGTCAGCTTGCCCAAAAATCAGCTCGTTGGGATTGATAGGACTTTATGATAATATTGTACTTGAACTTAATTTTTTTTGGTATTGATTACTGGTCTTTTTGCCCTATGCACTTTTTATCTAGCAACATTATACTCTTCTCAAAGATGGATTTGGAGCCATTAGTAACAAGGCTCAAAACCACATGTCATCTGGGGCTTACCCACTTACATGCCAACCAATTCACCACTCAGTTGGTGTATTTGAACTTAATTATGGCTTGAAAATTTTCCTTTATTTGTTTAGAAAGTAATCATAAAATAGTACTGGGGAAGATGCTTAAAAGCAGTTCGGATTAGGTCGACACAGTTGTACGCATAGTCAATAAGCACTTAGAAGTTTTTTTGACACCTATCCTTTAAAATAACCCCAACCTACCCTTGAAAAAAACTAATACCCACTTTTGATAGTTGTCAAAATATTTATCAAGTGCTTATTTAACATGCTTACTTTTTTGTGCCTATTAGATCTGATCCCATTTAAAAGTCCTACTTACTGTCAATTTTCGAGTTTTAGATGGGAGCCATTCAATGTTGTCTTTATTCTCAAGACATTCGTCAGTCGAAATTGTGACCTTGGATTTTACCCTAATTGTGACCTTAAATGATGAACCTAAGGCAAAAGAAAATAAAAAATGAATACTATTTTATATTTTTAAAAGAAAAGAAAATAAAAAATATAAAAAATGGAGAAAATAATTAAATAACTTCTCTCAAACGAGAAACATGCTGACATGGACCATCCAATTTTAATATATATATATATATAGATTTAGACTATTTGTTCCTCGTTAGATTTATTGGAGAGAAAGCAACTGGATTGATCATCTTTACCACGAAATGATGAACCTAAAAGGCTAAAAGCTCTACCTACCTAAAGCAATTCAGTTTTTGGATTTTCATAAACCCAAAGGCCAAAACAGTACTGCACAAATATGGAAATAGATCTCTCTTTCTTT